TGGGGGGGGGGGCAGGGACGGTGACTAGAAGGAGACGGGCACCGAGAGCCCCGGGACGGGCAAGGGTGCAAGGCATGTGGCCGGTGGCTGTGGCCACGGCTACGGCCCTGTTGCCACGGCATCTGTTCCCGGGGCGCGGAGATGACCTCGCACCCATCCCAGGCCCCTCTGGACGGCCGTGCAAGCATGGTGGAGTCCCGCGTGAGGGCCCCCGACCCCATGCGGCCCGGTTAGTGCGCACGCAGTCCCCCTGCGGCCTCGGCCAGACCGAGCAACGTGACGCCGTGGCGGGTTTACCTTCCAGCGCTGGGGTGGCACAGCCGGCTGCTTGATAAGCTAAGCGGAAACAGCAAATGGAATCATTAGGCTGGGAAGCAAGGAGAGGAGGAGAGCAAACCAGCAACAGTCCACCCGCGTCGCCCGGCCGCCATCGGGGGCCAGAGGCCTGTCTGTTAGGAGGGACCAGCTGTCTCGGCCGGTTCCTGCCGGTTAGCAAGTGGCCGCCCCACTGGACACCCGCAGATCTGGAATCAAGAGCTCGGTAAGTGGGACAGAACCCGGGAATGGGTTAGCGGGCAGGAGGCTCCAGGCTGGGTTTGGAGAAAGGCACGTCTTCGCTCCAGCGGGATCCTTGTGCCGGGTCCACGCGAGCGCGCCAGCCGCAGGCCGCTGCCACCATCCCGCACACATCCCTGGAAATCCCCAGACAAGGGGCTGTCAGCAGACAGGTGGCTTGGACAGCCCCTCCATTAATGTGTTAAACAGCCAGGCAGACCAGCTGGGGGAGTGGAGACGAGGAGAAAGACAAAGCAGTTAATTCAGCAGGGCTGGGGCCACCAGCTCTCTCAGACCAGCACGTGCCCCGGGCCTGCCTGGAGGCTGGGCTGGGCTGGGGGGCACCAGGGGCCCCTGAGGACCCCAGGGGCCATCCTGGCTCTGGCCCTCTCCCGCCACCCCCTAGAGGAGCTCACGGAGGGTACCACAGACCTCGGCCCCATGGGAGACGGAGGGGGCTAACCCAGCCTCCCCGCTCCGGCTGTCCCTACAAGAAAGCCCCAAGATGGAGTCTCTCATTCTTTTTGTGGTAGTCCTGGGGCTTGAACCAGGACCTGGGCGCTGCCCCTGGGCTTCTATGCTCAAGGCTAGCGCTCTACCATTTGAGTCACAGCTCACTTCCAGCTTTTTGGTAGTTAATTGGGGACGAGAGACTCATTGACTTGGATGCCCGGGCTGGCTTCGAACCTGAGTCCTCAGAGGTCAGCCCGGTGGCTTGAGCCACAGGCACCCGGCAAAGTTCCATCTCTTTGAAAACACAAAACCAAACTCACCCTCTCCCCCAAACCCAGCCACCCATCCAGTGTTACTGGGTTTGTGTTTACTAACAGTGTCCCCCAAACCCTGGAGCTCGGAACCGCCATCCTGGACTCCACCCCTCAGCAAGCCTTGGCCGGCCTCTCTCCCTTCCTCACCATGCCTGTTTGTGCTGGTTCGAACCTGGCCCTGCGGCTCCACGTTTGTTGACCAGCACTCCTTGGAACAAAATACCACCTTACTCCCACTCAGGTCTTTGGTTCAACAGCAAAGGCCCTTCTTAATGTGCTGGTACCCCCCCCCCTGCGACACGGGGAGCCCTCCCTCCCAACGCTCAGACCGCTGGAGACCCCCGTCCCTGAGTGACAGAGACACATCCCAGCCTTCGGGCCCTCCTTCCTCTGCTCAGCCCCGTCCTCCCCGACCTGTCTTCACCTCTGGCTCTGGAGAGCTCTGTGCTGGCTGACGGTGCCCAGCACACTATTCCATGAAGGAAGAGGCGGGGGGGAGAGGACCAACAAGAAGGGCCGACCCTGATCCGCAGAGGCAGGAGGCGGCCTTGCCTCGAGCCCTGGCTCCCGGGGCGGCTGGGCAGGCAGAGCCGGCTTTGGCTTTGCCCCCCCCCCCCCCCCCCCCCCCCCCCCCCCCCCCCCCCCCCCCCCCCCCACCCCTTCCTGACTCGCTCCACCCCCTCCAGGGAACTGGGAGACAGCTCTGTTGTCTGGATCTGGTTTCTGGGAAGGATACAGGGAGTCCGCTTTCTAACTTAGAAAATGACAAGTTCTCCTGTGCAGGCGGGGCCTGAGCCCAAACCCTGCCTGACGCCCCAATCCAGCGAGGCCTGCTCACACAAGGCCAGGCAGGGGCCCGGGCTGGGCTGCCGGAGGCTCCCTGTCTTCAGAAGGGGGAACCCGCAGCTGTGTCGCTTGACCAGAGCGAACCGCCTCCCCACTGCCCACCTCTGCGATGGTCAGGACAGAGCCGTCCAGTGGAAGGGGGGGGCGCTGGGAAGGTGGCTCAGGGGTAGAGTGCTCACCTAGCGTGCACAAAGCCCTGGGTTCAATTCCTCAGCACCACATACACAGAAAAAGCAGGAAGTGGCGCTGTGGCTTAAGGGGTAGAGCCCTAGCCTTGAGCAAAGAAGCTAAGGGACAGCGCCCAGGCCGAGTTCAAGCCTCAGGATTGGCAAAAAAAGAACTGGAGGGGTGGCTCAAGTTGTAGAGCTCCTGCCTACAAGCAAGGCCCTGCGTTCAACTCCTAGTATGAAGGAAGAAGCTCTGACTGATGCCTCTGCTTCCCTAAAAGCCTGAGGCCGCCTGCCATACTTGAGCTGGGCAGAGGCTACGGCCTGGCAAAGGTTTGGGGCCCCTGGCCCCAGGGGCCGGCGCCTCCCCGGAGTGAGCAGGCAGGGATTTTGGGAGCCTCTGGGTGCCCACAAAAGCTGGCTGCTCAGACCCCCTTCCCCTCAAGGGTGCAGTTCCCCCTCCCCGCCCCCCCCACCCCTACAGAAGGGGTGAAGTCCCCAAGGCAGGATGACTGGGCGCTGAGGACGGCCTGCGCACCTCTGACCTCTGACCTCTGAGCTAGCAAGGACTGGCCCCGCCCAGGGAGGCTCGGGGCTGGGGGGGTGGGGGCGGGGTCCCTGGAGAAACATCCCAGCTCCTGCCCACCACCACCCCCCACCCCGCCAGCCCATCCTCACAGGCCCCGGCCAAAGGACTCCATGATAGATCTGTGTAAGGGTGGACCCCGAAATGCTGGCGCCACAAGGAGTGGGGGCAGAATTTGCCTCTCAGTCCCCGGGTGGGCGGGGCTCAGCCGGGCAGGTCCCCCGGGGACCCCTATTCTCCATCTCTGCCCACCGCACAGGCCTGGCCAGCCCTGAGAGCCGAGCCTGCCTGCAGCTGCCTCCTCCCACACCCGCAGTCCCAGGGTGCCGGAGCCCTGGGGCCAAACAAACGGGGCTCTCATCTCCCCTGAAAATGTTAGGGGGCTCCGTGGCCTGCTGAACACTCCCTCGCTGCTCTGCCCTGCGCCTCTAAAGACATAAAGAGCCTCCTTCGGGAGCCTCCCGCTGGGGCCCAAGGGTGCTGGCTGACATGTGTGCCCCAGCCCGACTGCGTCTACCAACCACCGCTCAGCCCAGCGCCCCGTCCTCCCGTTTCCAGCCTCCCTTCCCCCCTTCCTCCCTCGCCTCTGTCTTTTCTTGTCCTGTACAAAGCCCCGCAGCGCCGTGGCCGTGGACGGTGGGGTGGGGTGGAGTACATGCCCACGGTGAATTGCCGCGTCCATCTCCACAGGTCCACACTTAGGGAAATGGGCCTTCTTTTTTTTTTTTTTTCCTGGCAGCCGGGGGCCTGTGCAGTCTGACTCAGTCCCTAACCCCGGCCTCCGCCCGGCCGGCCATGTGACGCCATTGGACGGGTTTTCTGCAGAAACAGGTTCCGGTTACCCGTGACCCTTCCCAGCTCCAAGGTCAAGGGGACGTGGCCGGTCCACGAGGCACGTCCTGGATGCCAAGTTTTTTGTTTTTTGTGCTCTTTTGTGGATGGTGGCTGGGAGGACTGAGCTCGTTTTCCACATCACACACAACAAGCCAAGTGCTGGGGCTGAGGAGCGCACGCCGGCCAGGGCCAGACAGCCCTGTTTCCTTTGGAAATAGCCTGTGAGAGGGAGACGGCCGGCGGCGGCAGGAAGCGTCTGTCTCCATGGCAAGGCAGGTGTCCTGGGTCTGGACTGTCTATTGTCGGGGGGGGGGTGTCCCACCAAAGAGCTGAACTCCCACCGAGGGGGTACCTCAACCCTCACGCACCCCAAAACCAACCTGACAGGGCGCTTGGCACACCAGAGCCAAAGCTGTCAGCCCTGCGCCCCAGGCAGGCCCAGCTCCTGAGGACACCCCCACCTCCAGCGCCTGCTCACCCGCGGCCCACCGACCCCCGCAGGAATTCCAGCCTGCTGCTTATCGCGCTCAGTGGAATCTAGGCCCTGGGCAGCCAGGCTGGGGAGATAAGGAGAGCCTTGAAGTCACCCCCAAATAGGGCCTGGCCAGCCAGAGGCCTGAGGCCTGGGGGGGTCATCAGAATGGCCCAGGGCCAGCCCGGGGGTGGGGGTGGGGGCCAGACCACCCTCTGGGCCACTCACCTGGTTTCAGGGCGCACACTGAGCAGGTAGCTGCGGCTGGCGGGGCCCGGGGTCCACACAGGCCCATCCTCCTCGCCATCGCCCCCTGCCCCGGTCTCAGCACGGCCCCCCAAGGCCCAGCCGCGGCTCAGGGCCCTGCGGGACCCCATGACGCTGCCTGCAGCTGCCTCCCGCCCAGCTCGGTGCCCGGCGGCTCACACTCCTATTTATAGCCGGCTGTCACCTGCTGCTGTCCCTCCCCGCTGCAGCTGCAGCCGGCTCAGGAGGGGGGGGCAGCCCGTCCACCCCCACCAGGGCCTCCCACTGCTGGTTTCCCTACAAGGAAGTGTCCCGGTGGAGACCCCAGGAAGGAGGGAGCCTGGGAGGAAGGCGCATGTCTGAAGGAGGCCCGGACGGAGCCCTCACAAAGCACTCAACTTCAGAGCAAGGTGCTGAAGACCAGTACTACCCATTGGGAGGGAGTGTCTGTCTGTCCATCCTCCCTCGGCCAACATGCTGTCCATGCCTGAGAGCCACGGGAAGCTCAGGGACCTGGAGGGACCAGGGGGAGAGACACAGCCCCCCCACCAACCTGAGCTATGTCAAGTTCTTCACCAAAACATTCTGAGTGGAGTGTGAAGGAGAGCCAGGCCTGGGCGGCACAGCGGGGCGGGCGGGGCTGTGCCCAGGCCGGGATGGTCGCTTCACCCCTCTGTGCCTGTGCGGTGCGGCACCCTGAGGCCCGGGCTAGGCACCCAACGCTCGCCACGACCCTCAGCCTCTCAGGATGCCGCTCAATGCCCCTCCTCCACCTGTGCTCCAGCACAGCCAGCCGGCCATGGCCAGGCCAGCCACGGCCAGACCAGCCACAGCCAGACCACACCACGGCCAGCTGGCCACGGCCAGGCCAGCCACTGCCAGACCACGCCATGGCCAGACC